CAGCTGAACAAACACAGTAGGCTGGGTGTGAAGGGGGGTGAAGTGGGTTGGAGGTGAAAGTGGGTGAAACTAGGGGCTTAGCACGTTGTTGTATGGAGAGAGGGGCGAAGGAGACATCGCAGGAGAGGCTGAAGCGGCGGATGGCAAAGCAGCTGAATAAACACAGTCGGCTGGGGGCGTTTTTGGGATGTGTTGGCCCATGTTAAGCTGTATTCAGCCATCTTGGGTCGTGTTGAGCCGTGTTAAGCTGTCCAGCGACGTGCTGGGATGCTTAAAAAAAGGCTAGGGTACAGTAGGATGAAAATGGAACCGGATGAGATGAAATTTGTCATTTTTCTTAGGCACCTCAAAGGTTGTCTCGTCTCTCGTGACAGGAGGCTGGCGAGAGCTCAGCTTTTTCATCACCCCTGGTTCCTTGTTTTTTTTCTCCCATGCTTCACCCATACCCTTTTGTGTGTGGCAGTTAAAAAGGATACGGCAGCAGAGAAAGCAAAGAAGCAGGAGCAGGAGAGGTTGAAGCGAGCTAAGCTGGAAGAGACTCGCCGTGCTGCTGCTAGGTACCGTGATAGGAGCAGAAGCAGGAGCAGGAGCAGGAGCAGGAGCAGGAGCAGGAGCAGGGACAGGAGTAGAGACAGGGATAGAGGCAGGAGCAGGAGCCGGAGTAGGAGCTGGAGTAGAGACAGGAGCAGCAGGGGAAGAAGCAGGAGCAGGAGCAGGAGCAGGAGCAGGAGCAGGAGCAGGAGCAGGAGCAGAGACAGGAGCAGGAGGGGCAGAAGCAGAAGCAGAAGCGGAAGCAGGAGCAGGAGCAGGAGTAGCAGCAGGGGCAGGGGCAGGAGCAGGAGCGGCAGTATGGACAGGGGCTGAAGGAGCAGAAGCAGGAGCAGGAGCTGGAGCAGCCGCAGGGACAGCGGCAGAAGGAGCATAAGTTTGGTTCTGTAGCTTAGCCTGTAAGGTTTGCAGGGTTCCCTTTGTCGCCAACAGATTAATTGCCAACAGGCGCATTGAATCGAAACCCCCTCCCATTCGCGGCGCCTCAAATGCTTGACTAGGGATGAGTTCTCGGCATGGGCGAGCAAGAAGCAATTTCAATCTCTTCTCATAATCAATTTCTATACTCCGCACGCATCCAAGTAACTGAATCAAGCGTACCGCATCGCCTCCCTTTAGAGGCGCATTGAAAGCCAAACCAGGGGTGAGCTTCCGGAAATGGACGGTGCATGCAAGGCAAAGCTCGACCGTGAACCTTGTGTGGTCATCAAGGCAGCTGAATCAAGAAAACCGCAGCACCGCGCCCCCTGCCATTTCGCGGCGCATCAAAAGCTTGTTTAGGGACAAGTTCCTGGCATGAACGGCGCAACAAGCGCGGCCTTGAATCGCTTCTCGATCAGGCAATCAAGTAACATAGGAACCAAGCACACCACCCGCCCCCCTTTAGAGGTGCCTCAGAAGCTTGATTAGGGACCATTAACCTTGATTCCCTTTTCAATTTCCTTGTCGGGCAATCAAGTAACAGAGGAACCAAGCACGCCACCCCCCTTTCGAGGTGCCTCAAAAGCTCGACTATGAACGAGTTTCCGGCATGAACGGTGCAAGCTCTACCTTGAATCTCTTTTCAAACTCCTTGTCCGAGCCTTTAAGCAACTGAATCAAACAAACCGCCTCCCTTCCCTGCTGCCGATTCACGCCTCGCTGGCCAGCAGTACCTTCTCTCCCCACCACAGCATAGCTGTCTTGCACAGAATCCAGTACACTGTGATACTCAACCTTCCCCACCCTCATCTCATCCATCCCACCCTCATCCTCCCCATATTCTACTTCCATATCCTCGTCCTTTCCTTCTGCCCTCCTCCCGCTACCAACTCCCTCCAAGTGCCCCCCTTTTTCTCCCCTATTCTTTGGTAGAGCTACCTCATGTGGTACCAACACATACCCCTTGCTCAGCAGTGCCAGATGTCGCGGTCTGATTCGCCGCTCCAAACTGAACCCAAGGAACATGGGGAACGCGAGCATCTCCGTTATAGACAACCCCATGTCCCACTTTAGGTATTCCACCTTGTGCTTCGTGTTCCGCTCCCAACTGTAGAAAATAGAATTCGGGAACTTCATCACCAGACTCACCACCATCTCACGAGCTGTGATGGTGGCAGCAATGCTCTTAAAGCCTTGTCCTTCTCCTGCTTTTACTTCATCCCAGCGCTTTGACCCGGCTGGAAAGCTGGTACCGCTTCCCTCTTGCCCAGCACATTCCCTTGCATCATGCTTCAATGCCCCCTCCAACCGTTGCATCTCACTTCCTGCTTCCCCACTGCTCTCCAATGCCTCTTCCACTTCTCTTACAAGCTCGCTGAAACCCGTCCTGAAATTCTCTTCACTGGACGACAGCAATAAAGGGTTCCTTGCCGTTGCAAGCACGGCGTTCTCTCGACCAATCAGATCGCTCAGCAATGCCACCTTGCTTTGCATATTTTCTACCGATAGAGTAAGAATCCTTGGAAAGTTGCGCACCACGCTCGCTGTTGCCTTCTCCCCCACCAACTCCACTAAAAACTGGAGCTTAGCTAAGAGATTCTGGGAGTTTCTGTGGACGAGAGAGGGGGTGTGGCGGAGAATCGAAATGGAAACAGAAGGGCTGTCAGGAGGAGTGAAGGACTGGAGGAGGAGGAGGTTGGCGGCAATGCGCTCCGGAGGCCTGAGGAGGATTCCTGGACACCGCACCAGGAGTCTGCTCAGGTGATTCTTGTCCTTGTGCTGCCTATTCAGGTGTTGCCTCAGGTGCCCGCTGTTGACGCTTCCTTCTCCGGATCCAGTGGTAAAATATGCTGATAATTGCTCGAGGCGACTTCGTATGGTTTCCTCCTTCATGCACAGAGTTATTGGACCTCTCTCTATAAGCACACCCAGCTTGTCCACAGGAACCCCCCCTCTCTCCACCAGAATGTCCAAGTTCGGTGAACGAGTCCGCATGGTAATGAGAAATGGAGACTTTCGGAGCACCGTACCTAGCTTGGTTCGGCGTACGCCCCGAGCCAAGAGAAAATCAAGCATTTCCTGAAGGTGGGAAAGGGAGACTCGGAGCCAGGAACAATTTCTCATGGAGATGGCTGACATGTCGGCACGGGATAAGCCATATGACTGGAGGAGGTGGACACGTGGCAGAAGATCATTGGCTGGATCAGAACGCAGGAGGGCAGGGTGAGAGGCGAGGAGGGAAGCGACAGTGGAAGGGGAGGAGATGCCGAGGTGGGAGGAGAAGAAGCGGTAGAGGGAGAGGAGGGAGGAGGGAGATACGACCCGACGAGGGCCATAGTGTGGAGGAGATGGGCGGGTGGGAGGAGATGTGTTGGGTGGTGCGTCCTCCTCACTCGCTTCTGCTTCTGCTTCTGCTTCTGCTTCTGCTTCTGCGTCTTCCCCCTCGTTCCAATCCTCACCCTCTTCGCCCTCAGCTTCTGCGCCCTCTCTTTCCTCATCCCCATCCCCCAACTCTTCCGCTTCGTGTCGTCCCTTAGCATCCTCCTCGTCCGTAATCATTCCGTTTGTACACCCCTCCTCCTCCCCCTCCTCTCTCACGATCTGATCCCCGAATTTCTCTCTCAACACTCCAGCGATTACTGCAACTGCCTCCTCCTCCTCCTCTGAATCCTTGCACCCTTCTCTCTCTCCACGCTTCCACCCGCCTCCCGCATCCTTCCCCCCCACTTCCCTTGCTCTTGTCACTCTACTCTCGCTCTTCTCTGATTTTCGTCCCTCACTCTCTCCCTCCTCACTTCCATCTGTACGCAGTCGATCCTCCGTCCCGACCGCCACTGCTGGTTTGCCATCGAAGCTCGGATCGAATCGCACGTTCGCGCTCTCCGCCTCGGGAACCTCTGCTGCTCTGGCCGACGATCCAGCTGGGCAGCCTATAGTGAAGCTCCGGTCAGAAGTTCGAAACCTGGTGAATGCGTTTTGTGCAGGCTGGTGTCGATTTAGCCCAAACCGGTGGAGGCTCGGCGGGGAAGGAATAGCAGCTGCGGATGCCATTTCAGGCTTCTCTGAAAATGACTTATTACGAGGCGTAGAAGACGGTGTCATGAATCTTAATGAAGATCTTAATCTGTTTATCCACGCGATGGGTGGCCGTGACGTTCTGGTACGATACGCCATAACGAATAGCCGATGGATGCAACGAAACGGACGATGGATCACATGAACGACTTACACGCCTTCAGTGAGTGTCCTACGACGACCATCTGTAAGAAAACGTTTCGTCTCAATAGTTCCTCCGATTGCTGGCAGCAGACATCTCACACTCTAGTAGCAAAGTTCACGATACAGACCCAAGAGAACGGAGAAGTGCTCTGATAGAAGGCATGGTGAGTGCAAACAGACGGATCCTATTCTGGTCCCACTCACTGCGCTGGGATTGCCAAGCGCTGGGATTGCCGAGCTGTGGGGTAACCTTCGCTGGCGCATCAATGCCATCTCCTTTCACGAGAACATTGCGACAATGTCGCATACAGATTACGTCTGCGTTCGCTAGCCCATTTCTTTCGAAGCGACGACTGGTTGCCACAGTTGCGAAAGGTTTTGTGCTTTCGCCCATCAAGTCCAAAAGCTGGTTTGATGTTGGTACCCGTTTACTGAATTTATGTTCAACCCCTCCTTCCCGTTGCAACCATCCCATCCTCCTACACCCAACTCTCATCCCATCTACAACTGTACAAGTTGCTTCACCAAGGTACAACCTTTACCTTGCTTGGAGAACATAACAACACTAGAGCACATAATGCAGCCAGAACAAGGAGCTTAGAGCAACTGTACAATTGGGGCCTGACGGCAACTAAGAAGGGCTGGCTTTTCTCAATATAGTCAGGTCAAAATCTGACTCCCGACGGCTGACTTCGGCCCGCCTCTACTTCTGTGCTTGTGTATTTGTGCATATATCTGTTGTGTTGGCTCATTACTTTTTGCAAGTTGGCCCAAAACCGCAAGTAGGGCCAATTTTTGAGTCGTTTAAGAAGTCAAAAGTCGAATCTTGCAAGTTGAGCGTGCGACTCCTCCACATCCTTCTGTGCTTTCTTCCTCCGATAGAATATGGGGCAATCCCGACTGCCAGGGGGAGAGAACAGGGGGAGGGTGGAAGGGAGTGATAATTGGAATAAAGCAGTCAATGGTAGGGTCCCCTCCACGTCCTTCTGTGCCTTCTTCCTCCGCCAGGGGAAGAGAACAGGGGGAAAAGGCACAGAGGGACGTGGAGGGGCAGTCGCGACTGCCAGGGGAAGAGAACAGGGGAGAGTTGGTGGGTGATCGTTAAGGTCAAGCAGCCACGGTGGGCCCCTCCACGTAGACTGAACAGTTACAGACTAATCCGTGCTACGGAAAGCTATGGCACACAACCTCTACTGACCTCTAAGCAGCCACACAACAGTGCAAACCCCACCAGCTACAGCAACAACAGCACCATCAGAGCCACCATCTCACCTGGTGCTGCAGAGCACGTCTTGATGCAAGCTTCCCTGACACCACCGGCACCCCATGCAGCAAGATAGACAGCAACACCGCCATCCTACATGCTACAGAAGCACCATACAGCGTACCTGGTGCCCAGCATGTCTTGATGCAAGCTGCCCTGGCATTGCTGGCATTAGGTGACTTAAGAGTCAACTTAAAGTCTACAGCAGCACCATCAGAGCCACCATACAGCAGCACCAACATTCCACCATACAGCGTACCTGGTGCACAGCACGTCTTGATGCAAGCTGCCCTGGCATCGCTGGCACTCCACCCATAGCCTTCCAAGCTGCTGCTTCTTTATTAGCCGACTTAAACATCACATCAGCGCACATGCTACAGCAACACCACACAGCATACCTGGTGCAGAGCACGTCTTGGTGCAAGCTGCCCTGACATCGCTGGCACTCCACCCATAGCCTTCCAAACTGCTCCTCACACTCCCGCACTGAATCACAGACAGCAAGGAGGGAGGATGCAGAAAGCATGAAGGAAGCACACAGAAAGCAGGATTGAGGGATTGGTAAGCTGATTATCGATTATCTTAAAAAACACGGCCAGCAGAAACCATTGAAATTAAACTATCAAAGACTCACCAGTGGATGTGATCCGTTGGTAAATCTCGCCTTCTCGATCCATACAGTGCACGCACAGCGTCTGGGAATTTCCACTGCCAGGAGAGTGAGCAGAGAGAACGTAAAGGACGATAAAAGGAGAGGAGGAGATGGTAAAAGGCAGCGCATTCGTGCATACACACCAAACATAGGACACCATTCGGACTGTCCCTTAGGCACAGCTGTTCTCAGAGATTTCATGGACCAAACAAGAAAGGGCTAGAAGGGTTCGACATTCAATCATAACTTATTGTTGTAAGAAAAAAAAAAAAAACAGGCGGTTGGGTTACCTGAGGGGCGTCTTGCAGCCGAGGCAGGAGAGGCGGACTTTGGCGAATCGCATGATGCCACCTGTCGAAGGCGTGGAGATGGAAACGGCACGCGTGTGCGCCCCGCTCAGCAGCTCCTTGCTTGCGTTCTTCAGAATGGGCTCGAAAATTCTCAGCAGTGGCTGGAACGTCGGGGTATATAGGGTATGGGTTGAGGGTTCAAACAAGAAACGGGGGTGGGGGGGGGAGAGGGGTTTGAATGGTGTATGGATCACCGAGTTCGCCCCACTCAGCAGCTCCTGGCTCAGCAGCTTCGTCAAGATGGGCTCGAATATCCGCAAGAGGGGCTGACACATTGGGGTTTAGGGTTGAAGATACGAGTTTAAGTGGTGGAGGGCAGTGGAGATGGACACGGCTCGCGAGTGCGCGCCACTCAGCAGCTCCTTGCTCGCATTCTTCAGAATTGGCTCGAATATCCGCAGGAGAATTTTTAGCGGCAGAATGGTCGCCTCAAAAGTGGTGAGGGCAGACTTTTCAGGCGCCTCAAAGGACAACCGCGCTTACCTTGCTGAGTTGGTTCTCCATGTAATAGTGAGGGTTGATGGGTATGTTGTTTGTTGCTCCAGAGGAATCGTCTGCTATTGAGAACAAGAATATCAACACTTCACCCCTCACCTTGCTGAGTTGGTTCTCAAGGTAGTAGAGTAGTGCGGGTCGATGGGTATGTTGTTTTCCAGCACATGAATGGGGTCCTCAGACTTCTTGTGAATGGATATGTCGATCTCTCGTCAGTACGCATGGTGGGAAACTTGTGAGGCACCCCAAAGGACAACCGCGCTTACCTTGCTGAGTTGGTTTTCAAGGTAGTAGTGCGGGTCGATGGGTATGTTGTTCTCCAGCACATGGATGGGGTCCTCAGACTTCTCGTATGCCTGAGATGAGAAAATGTGAAGCAGGAGAGAGCGAACTGAGTGCGTGAATCTCGTACAGAAGAAGCAGGCATAACGGGTGAATGGACCGCAGGTATAGCAATCTCATCGCATGCCTGACAGAATAGGCCACTCGATCCCCGATGCCCGGTAATCCCGTACAGAAGAAGCAGGCCTAACGGGTGAACGGACCACAGGTATAGCAATCTCATCGCATGCCTGGAGGGAGTGACGTCATTTTGTCCCCCACTCTTGGAAGCATAACGCAGGCGTCTGTTACAAGAGCCTGTGTATGCCTAACGTTTTGAGAGATTTAAGACAATGGGTATGCGAACCTACCAAGAGCATACAAGAAGAAGTGCATCCTGCTTCCTCAGGAGTCTATGCACTTTTTACCGCATGCATTTGCAAGCAGCTCACCTTGTTTCCCTTGGGGGCCTTGCAGATGACATACGCCACTCGATCCGGTGCTGTGGCGGAGTCACGCTGGGAGATGGGCAGATTCAAGCAAGCTACATGCACCGCACGTCGCAAGCAGCTCACCTTGCTGCCCTTTGGAGCCTTGCAAATGACGTACGCCACTCGATCCCCAATGCCTGGTGCTGTGGCGGGGTCACGCTGAGAGAGAGGGATTCAAGCAACAACAAAGGTGGATTCGGAAAGGGGTAGTAAAGGGCGGAAAGGGGTGGTAAAGGGCGGAAAGGGGTGGTAAAGGGCGGAAAGAGGAAGAAAGGGAAGGTGAATCTCACAAAAGAATGAGCAGCTGCTAGTGAATGCAGAGGCAGATTAGCGACGCACGGCAACATATGAGCAACGAAGAACAACCCCAATGACTAGTTGATCTCCATGGTTGTCGAATAAAAAAGGCTTCTCGCAATATCTGAGTCACAAGGTGAGAGAATCCTCACTCACCTTGCGCATCCTCTCTGCTAGCTGAACGTGGGCCGCCTTGACTGCATAGTCGTCACCTCCCTTGGTTAGCGCCTTGGTGATCACCAGCAGCGAGAGGTCGAGCTTGTTCATAAGAAGATCTGAGATAACAGCCTTCACATATGCCACTGCTCCAGGAATATCCCGCTCCATGAGTATCCTCCGCAAGCACTCATCCACCACCTGTGGGTTGAACCAGGGGGGACACGATACGATGCATGAGCTTCCGGATACATAACAGCCTTCACATATGCCACTGCTCCAGGAATATCCCGCTCCATGAGTATCCTCCGCAAGCACTCATCCACCACCTGTGGGTTGAACCAGGGGGGACACGATACGATGCATGAGCTTCCGGATACATAACAGCCTTCACATATGCCACTGCTCCAGGAATATCCCGCTCCATGAGTATCCTCCACAAGCACTCGTCCACCACCTGTGCGTGGGGGTGGGGTGGGACGTTAATCAGTGAGGCATGAGAGGATATACGAGGTGCCTCAAGAACAGATCACAGCCTTCACATACGCCACTGCTCCGAGGATGTCCCACTCCCTTAGGATCCGCTGCAAGCACTCGCCCACCACCTGTGGGGTGGGTTGAACCAGTGGGGCATGAGACGATGCATGAGGTGTTTGAACATAGAGGTAATAACCAGCAGCGAGAGGTCGAGCTTGTTCAAGAGGAGATCCGAGATGACGGCCTTCACATACGCCACAGCGCCGGGAATATCCCGCTCCATGAGAATCCGCCGCAAGCACTCATTTTTGAGGCGCCTCAAAAATCCCGCTCCATGAGAATCCGCCGCAAGCACTCATTTTTGAGGCGCCTCAAAAATCCCGCTCCATGAGAATCCGCCGCAAGCACTCATTTTTGAGGCGCCTCAAAAATCCCGCTCCATGAGAATCCGCCGCAAGCACTCATTTTTGAGGCGCCTCAAAAATCCCGCTCCATGAGAATCCGCCGCAAGCACTCATTTTTGAGGCGCCTCAAAAATCCCGCTCCATGAGAATCCGCCGCAAGCACTCATTTTTGAGGCGCCTCAAAAATCCCGCTCCATGAGAATCCGCCGCAAGCACTCATTTTTGAGGCGCCTCAAAAATCCCGCTCCATGAGAATCCGCCGCAAGCACTCATTTTTGAGGCGCCTCAAAAATCTCGCTCCATGAGAATCCGCCGCAAGCACTCGTCCACCACCTGTGCGTGGGGGAGGGGACTTTGATTCAATTTGAAAGATGACAGCCTTTCACATACGCCACCACTCCGAGAATATCCCGCTCCATTAGGATCCGCCATAAGCACTCATCCACCACCTGTAAAGTGGGGTGAACCAGTGGGGGGCATGAGACGATACACGTGGTGTTTCAACATAGAGGTGATAACCAGCAGCGAGAGGTCGAGCTTGTTCAAGAGGAGATCCGAGATGACAGCCTTCACATTAGAATGCGCCGCAAGCACTCGTCCACCACCTGTGGAAGCAAACCAGTGGGCACTAGGCATTGCCTCAAAAGTAAACGACAGCCTTCACATGTGCATGCCGCAGCCATGGGAAAAATCTCAGATCAGATTTCACATACGCCAGGTAAGTAGACCACGTTTTCTTGAGAATCTCAACTGAAAAACACGTCCCCAGCTCACCTGGCGGACCAACAAGCAGTTGTCTCTCCGAACCGTCTCAATGCCTGAAGGGTTACAGCAGTAGGAGACAAGGGGAAGAGACAGAGAGAGGGAAGACCGAACTTATTCTGAAGTCGACTCAGAGCCGACAGTTGTCTCTTTGAGCCATCTCGATACCTGTGGGGTCAATGGGCTGAAAGAACACGGGTACAAGATGTGAGGAGGCGAAAGGGGACAAGATGTCGGTTGGATGAAGAAGTGTTTTGAGACGTCTCAAAACACTCCTTATCAATGGGCTGAAAGAACACGGGTACAAGATGTGAGGAGGCGAAAGGAGACAAGATGTGAGGAGGCGAAAGGAGACAAGATGTGAGGAGGCGAAAGGAGACAAGATGTGAGGAGGCGAAAGGAGACAAGATGTGAGGAGGCGAAAGGAGACAAGATGTGAGGAGTCGAAAGGAGACAAGATGTTGGTTGGATGGGTTCCCATCTTATCGAAGCCCTTTGAGTTTTGGCCAGTACAGCCTCTTGCACTTGATATAATCACACCTTTATCGGCACACCTAGGCCGCCGTACCTACCTTTGGTGTCCATCTTATTCAAAGGCCTTGGAGTTGGACCAGTACAGTCCGGTATATTGCTTCTTGCACATGTTATAAGAAACACACCTTTACTGTCACACATCAATCATCGCACCTTTGGTGTCCATCTTGTCAAAGGCCTTGGAGTTGGACCAGTACAGCCCCGCGTAGCGCTTCTTGTTGATCAGCAGGTACGGGAAATACACCTTCTCAAACTCCAGCCTGATTGGCTGAGAGGCAAGACCAGGGCAGACAGAAAAGAATATATGTCATTTGCTTTTATTTTTCAAATCAGCTAGAAGGCAACAAGAAAGGGAGGGGAGGGGAAGTTGGAACAGAAAAGGACCATCTGAGTTTCGACTATCCAGCAAATAAGGACTCTCACCTTGGGGAAGGTATCAGAGATCTCCTCTGCGGCCTGTCTGCCCATGCGCATGGCCTCCTTGGCAGTGTCCACGCCAAAGATGACCATCACTGAGTCAGTATCGCCGTAGACCACATCCGCATTGTGCTCTGAGTCGACTTCAAATCGTGCTCTCTCACCTTGGGGAAGGTGTCAGAAATTTCTTCTGCCGCCTGCCTGCCCATGCGCATGGCCTCCTCAACAGTGTCCACGCCAAAAATGACCATCACTGAGTCCGTGTCACCGTACACCACGTCGGCATTGGAGTGACTTTTGAGAATTCTCAAAAGTCACTCCAATATAGCTGGCTTAAAAATCCCTCCGGTTTTGAGAATTCTCAAAAGTCACTGAGTCCGTGTCACCGTACACCACGTCGGCATTGGCACATGTACCACGTACCTATTCCTACATACCTTGGGGAAGGTGTCAGAAATTTCTTCTGCCGCCTGCCTGCCCATGCGCATGGCCTCCTCGACAGTGTCCACGCCAAACATCACCATCACCGAATCCGTGTCGCCGTAGACCACATCCGCATTGTGCGAGTAACCGTTGGCGATGGAGTAGTGCTGCTCCACAAACGCCCTCGTGTGCTCTATCATCTGCCGCCCTGCACGCACGGACACACGCACACAAGCACACATGCACGCACACCCACAAGGAAGAAGAGGTGGAACAGTGCATCAAAGGGCATTGTGCGAGTAGCCGTTGGTGATGGAGTAATGCTGCTCCACGAACGCCCTCGTGTGCTCTATCATCTGCCGCCCTGCACGCATGGACACATGAACACACACACGCACGCATGCACGCACACACACACATCCATGAGGAAGGTGAAGCAGAAGTGAATTATTGAGGTGCCTTGAGAGAGAGGCATTGTGCAAGTAACCGTTGGCAATGGAGTAGTGCTGCTCCACAAACGCCCTCGTCTGCTCTATCATCTGCCGCCCTGCACGCATGCACGGATGGGGAAGGAGAGAAGCATCTGTAATGAGGAGGTCGAATGCTTCGTCAGCGTCGCCACGTTCGTCAAGGCCGACATCTTTTGAGTCGACTCAAAAGTCAAGTCGCCACGTTCGTCAAGGCCGACATCTTTTGAGTCGACTCAAAAGTCAAGTCGCCACGTTCGTCAAGGCCGACATCTTTTGAGTCGACTCAAAAGTCAAGTCGCCACGTTCGTCAAGGCCGACATCTTTTGAGTCGACTCAAAAGTCAAGTCGCCACGTTCGTCAAGGGCGACATCTTTTGAGTCGACTCAAAAGTCAAGTCGCCACGTTCGTCAAGGCCGACATCTAGCTCAGAATCGCAGCAACACAGGCAGCACAGACGCAGAAACTTTTGAGAATTCTCAAAAGCCACATCTAGCTCAGAATCGCAGCAACACAGGCAGCACAGACGCAGAAACTTTTGAGAATTCTCAAAAGCCACATCTAGCTCAGAATCGCAGCAACACAGGCAGCACAGACGCAGAAACTTTTGAGAATTCTCAAAAGTCATATCTAGCTCAGAATCGCAGCAACACAGGCAGCACAGACGCAGAAACTTTTGAGAATTCTCAAAAGTCACATCTAGCTCAGAATCGCAGCAACACAGGCAGCACAGACGCAGAAACTTTTGAGAATTCTCAAAAGTCACATCTAGCTCAGAATCGCAGCAACACAGGCAGCACAGACGCAGAAACTTTTGAGAATTCTCAAAAGTCACATCTAGCTCAGAATCGCAGCAACAAAGGCAGCACAGATGCAGAAAAGGTAACCGGGCAGCACAGAAGCAAAGGAAGTAACACAGGCAGAGCCCGGATTCTAAAGCCCCAGTCATGCACGTGAGTGACTCACCGTAGGCAGTAACACTGGATGATATCTCCAAGCAGGGCAGAGCGCCGATAGTGGCCCCTGTGAAGCCGTAGACAGAGTTGGCACTCACCTGTGATGAAGGGGGGGAAGAGAGGAGAACCACGGAGTAAAGGTCGAAGGGAATGAGCGGACACATGGAAAGTAGAGGCATGACAGAGCGCCGATAGTGGCCCCTGTGAAGCCGTAGACCGAGTTGGCACTCACCTGTGATGAAGGGGGGGAAGAGAGGAGAACCACGGAGTAAAGGTCGAAGGGAATGAGCGGACACATGGAAAGTAGAGGCATGACAGAGCGCCGATAGTGGCCCCTGTGAAGCCGTAGACCGAGTTGGCACTCACCTGTGATGAAGGGGGGGAAGAGAGGAGAACCACGGAGTAAAGGTCGAAGGGAATGAGCGGACACATGGAAAGTAGAGGCATGACAGAGCGCCGATAGTGGCCCCTGTGAAGCCGTAGACCGAGTTGGCACTCACCTGTGGTGAGGCTGATGGGAGGGGGAAGAAAATGAGCAGAAGCATGCAAAGCAGAGGCATGATAATGCAGCGACAGTGGCCCCTGTGATGCTGTAGTCTGAGCTGGCAAATGAAGAGACACACACGAAAGGGTGTGAAAGCATTGAGAAACGAAAAAAGAGGACCAGGAAGGAAGCTGGAGAATTTGGTTTGCTGTTATCCTTCCTTGCATGCCAGCTGTCAAGCTACCTGGCCTGGGTTGCCAGCTGTCATCCTACCCTCTCCGCCAGCTGTCATCCTACCCTCTCTGCCAGCTGTCATCCTACCTTGAGTGCCAGCTGTCGGCCGTCCAGCACTGCTTTCTCCAGTGGATCCGTGGCTTTCTGCAGAGATGAAGAGCAGACAGGGAGGGAGGGAAGGAGGATGGATTTGGAGACTTGAGACATGCAACAAAAAGTCCATGCAACAAAAAGTCCATGCAGCAAAAAGTCCATGCAACAAAAAGTCCATGCAACAAAAAATCCACGCAACAAAAAACGCAGCGCATACCTTGAGATCAGCCTTTGCTCTCTTCCTCGCTGCCAGCAGCTCTTCCAATATATCTGGCAGAATGCCCTTGGCGGCTGATGCCTTCACGACGAGGAGACTAGAAGGAACCTGCTTTTGAGTCGACTCAAAAGACGAGGAGACTAGAAGGAACCTGCTTTTGAGTCGACTCAAAAGACGAGGAGACTAGAAGGAACCTGCTTTTGAGTCGACTCAAAAGACGAGGAGACTAGAAGGAACCTGCTTTTGAGTCGACTCAAAAGACGAGGAGACTAGAAGGAACCTGCTTTTGAGTCGACTCAAAAGACGAGGAGACTAGAAGGAACCTGCTTTTGAGTCGACTCAAAAGACGAGGAGACTAGAAGGAACCTGCTTTTGAGTCGACTCAAAAGACGAGGAGACTAGAAGGAACCTGCTTTTGCGTCGACTCAAAAGACGAGGAGACTAGAAGGAACCTGCTTTTGAGTCGACTCAAAAGACGAGGAGACTAGAAGGAACCTGCTTTTGAGTCGACTCAAAAGACGAGGAGACTAGAAGGAACCTGCTTTTGAGTCGACTCAAAAGACGAGGAGACTAGAAGGAACCTGCTTTTGAGTCGACTCAAAAGACGAGGAGACTAGAAGGAACCAGGCAACAAACCCCCCTCCCCCTTCCTCCCTTCCCTCCTACCCACCCACCCCTCACCTTGAGATCAGCCTTTGCTCTCTTCCTTGCTGCCAGCAGTTCTTCCAGAATCTCTGGCAGAATGCCCTTGGCTGCAGATGCCTTGACAAAGAGATCTCCTGTGGGAGTTTGCGATATCTGGTCGTCTGGTGGCCTGATGCCATGCTCCTTCTGCACCTGATGGTGGGAGTGGTGTGGAGTGGTGGGGGTTGGTGGGTCAACTTTTGAGACTTCTCAAAGGCCTGTGGGGGTTTGCGATATCTGGTCGTCTGGTGGCCTGATACCATGCTCCTTCTGCACCTGATGGTGGGAGTGGTGGGGAATGGTGGGGAGGGGTCGGGAGTGGTGCGGAGTGGTGGGGGTTGGTGGGTCAACTTTTGAGACTTCTCAAAGGCCTGTGGAGGTTTGCGATATCTGGTCGTCCGGTGGCCTGATACCATCCTCCTTCTGCACCCGAAAGGGTGAACGGTGTGATTGATGGGATGGGTTTCCGAAATTTGATGGGATTTGGGGGTTTGTGATATCTGGTCGTCTGGTGGCCTGATGATACCATGCTCCTTCTGAATCTTACGGTGAAAGTGGTGGGAGTTGGAGGGTGGGTGATGGGGTAAGTGATCGCGTGAGTGATGCAGTGAGTGGTGACATGGGTGCACGCCCAGGCGCAGCATCATCATGGGAGTGCGCATGATCATGCCCACACACGTGTGCGGGCATGATCATGGACGTGGGTGTGTGCATGTGTGAACCAGAGTGCAGTAGCAGAGGTTGCGGGCCATCAGGGGATCGACGGGTACAGTGATGCAAAGTCAAGGGTGTGTGTGTGTGTGTGTGTGTGTGTGTGTGTGTGTGTGTGTGTGTGTGTGTGTGTGTGTGTGTGTGTGTGTGTGTGTGTGTGTGTGTGTGTGTGTGTGTGTGTGAATTCGGGGTATGTGTACACGTGACGAGGGGAAGGGAATATGCACGCATGTCCCCCATTCAATCACTCACCAGAGTGCAGTAGCAGAGGTTGTGGGCCATCATAATCGACGGGTACAGCGATGCAAAGTCAAGAGTGGCAACAGGCCGTTCATAGAACCCCTGCTTCGGCTCCAGCACCGTCGCCCCCTCATATGTTGCATCTGCTCCTGCCCCCGCCTGAACCTTCATGTTGGGCACCAGCAACTCTCGCTGCCTCGCCTTGCGTAGGATTTGAGAGAGCACCTGGAGTGTGTGTGTCAGCAGGGAAAAGGGGAAAAGGAGGGCGTTCATAAAACCCCTGCTTTGGCTCCAGCAGCCGTTGGCCCCTCGTAGGTCGCATCTGCCCCTCTCCCTGCCCTGCCACTCAGCGTCCCTCACCCTGCTACTCCCCCACCCTGCAACTTCATGTATACGAGAAACCAGCATCCACTCGGCCTCAAGGGCAAGTCATACAGGCCGGGAGGGCAAGTACGTTGATGCTCTGCCTCCGAGCAAGGAAAAACAAAATGGCACTCCCGTGTCTCTGGCCATCTCAACGTAGTTGTAGACCATCATGAGCTTCTCCAGCAGCCGCTGCGGCAGGTACGCGTCTTTCAGGCAGTACACACTTTAGCCTGTCGGGTACTGGTATGCATACCTTGATAATCTGCCCTTGAGCAAGCAGGAAAGAAATGGGGACGCCGGTAACCCTAGCCATCTCCACATGATTGTAGACCATCCTCAGCTTCTCAAACAGCCGCTGCAGCAGGTACGCGTCCTTGAGGCAGCAGACTGTCAGCGTCATGGCAGGGGTGTGGCGTACCTTGATACTCTGCCCTCGAGCAAGCAGGAAGGAGATGGGAACGCCAGTCACACGCGCCATCTCAACGTAGTTGTAGACCATCATGAGCTTCTCCAGCAGCCGCTGCGGCAGGTACGCGTCTTTCAGGCAGTACACGGCCAGGCGGCGTCGCGTTTGGGCATCGCCGTTCTGAAGGTCGGCAATGATGGAGTGATGCACGTCCTCCTTCTGCTCATTACAAGCACATTCGGTACAAGCAGAATGTCACATGGGGTAGGAGAAGCACATGAGTGGCCTTCAGGCAATACACGGCCAGGCGGCGGCGCGTCTGGGCGTCGCCGTTTTGAAGGTCGGCAATGATGGAGTGATGCACGTCCTCCTTCTGCGCTTATGGGAAGGGGGACGGGGGGGGAGTTGGGGAGGAGAGGAGCACATTCTGTACAAGGTACGATCACATTCCAGCACATTACGAACACGCACATTCTCGTTCAAGCACAACCGTACAAGCACAGTTGGTTACCTGCTGTGGCGTAAAAAGATCCCAATCTGAATTTCTTCCTCTTGGTTTTGTGCTGAGATCAAGAAGTCACAGAGAGTACCGAAAAACCCAACCTGTTCGTTGAGGAAGTGAGCAGAGACGGAGTTGAGGGAGTAAGAGCTAAGCTTGTGCTCTCTCTGAATGGCCACCAGCAGATCAAATTGCACTCGCCCATCCAGAGTCACCTCCTTGGTTTCCCTTGTGCCGTACTGCCTGGATGAGGACAATGGCACAACAAGGAAAGGGAGGGATTCTCAGTTACTAACAGGGATTCTCAGTTACTAACAGGGATTCTCAGTTACTAACAGGGATTCTCAGTTACTAACAGGGATTCTCAGTTACTAACAGGGATTCTCAGTTACTAACAGGGATTCTCAGTTACTAACAGGGATTCTCAGTTACTAACAGGGATTCTCAGTTACTAACAGGGATTCTCAGTTACTAACAGGGATTCTCAGTTACTAACAGGGATTCTCAGTTACTAACAGGGATTCTCAGTTACTAACAGGGATTCTCAGTTACTAACAGGGATTCTCAGTTACTAACAGGGATTCTCAGTTACTAACAGGGATTCTCAGTTACTAACAGGGATTCTCAGTTACTAACAGGGATTCTCAGTTACTAACAGGGATTCTCAGTTACTAACAGGGATTCTCAGTTACTAACAGGGATTCTCAGTTACTAACAGGGATTCTCAGTTACTAACAGGGAGGGAATCTCAATACTCACCAGCCAGTCACTCAGATCAGAGTACATGCGACACATGGCATGATCGCAAAATGAACACTCAGATCAGAATATGTTCCCATATTGTAACATCAGGTAAATTACAGTCAGGGTTGCACCTGGATTGAAAGCGAGCATCGCGCATCTTGAGCTGGGTGTTGAGGATCCGACCGAGGAACGGGAAGGTCTTCAGATTCAGCTTCTCTGCCCTCTGCAAGAGGAGAGCAACAGAGGGTCAGCAGTAGCAGTAATAGCACGACCTCCTTATACATGGTCTCTCTGATACACGGTACAGATCATGTCACTAACTTCCTCGTCACACATCGCATCGACCCTTGTGTAAGCCCACATACCTCAATCAAGTAGGGCAGATCGAACTTCTGAATGTTGTATCCGATGCTAAAAAAATGATTATGTCATCGTCCTTCTTGGTGTGTAAACCCACCCACCTCAATCAAGTAGGGCAGATCAAACTTCTGAATGTTGTATCCGATGATCATGTCGGGGTCTGTTGCCTGGATGAGCTCCTGTGTGGAGAGAAAGAGAGAGGGAGAGAGAGGGGTGGAGGAGGGTTGAGGCGTTTCAGAAGTCAAAATTCTGAATGTTGTACCCAATGATGACGTCAGGGTCTGTTGCCTGGATGAGCTCCTGTATATGTGGAGAGATAATGAGACGAAATGAAGGAACGGGAGAGAGGTGGAGCAGGAAGGGTGGTGGAGAGGGTGGGGAAAGGGGAAATGCGAGAGAAATGAGATTTCTTGACTACGCAGAAAAGGAGGAATGAAAGATACAAGTTGTGCTCTGGCTACTAAACAGACGCACCTTCCAAGCCAGCAGCAGCTGTTGCTCCGTTTCAAACGCCACCACATCGCACCCCACGATGGGCGCACACGAGCCGAGGGTGAGCACGGTGCGAACCAGCGGGTCGCTGCTGCCCTGCTGGGACACGATATTGGCGATCTGAATGACCGGGTCGTGCTGTGGCCGTGCTGCGGCTCTGGTGGATACAGATATAGACCTCTTGAGGCAACACTCTCAATTACACTCGTTCTACCCACCTTCCATGCAAGCAGGAGTTGCTGCTCTGTCTCAAAAGCCACCACATCACACCCCACGATCGGAGCACAGGAGCCGAGGGTGAGCACGGTGCGAACGAGCGGGTCACTGCTGCCCTGCTGGGAAACGATGTTGGCGATCTGAATCACTGGGTCGTGCTGCGGCTCTGGGAAGTGCCCCTTGCGCCCGCTGCACTCGATGTCAAAACTGAGGATGCGAAAAGGGGCCATGCGGGACCACTGCCCCGTGCCTTCGTGGCTGACAAGGTCTGTATAGCTGTTACAGAGAGGCAAAGATGTGGGGGTTGGGGAGCAGGAAAGAAAGGGTTGGCAAGAGGTTGAAGCTGAAGATGCGGATCATATCAGATCACATCACATCAGATCTTACAATACCACATCACACCACTCACAAGATGTCAACCTCCAGCTGGCACACTGACAGCTTCCGCGCGTCCTCGCGCACGCGGTACGTGCCAGCTGGCAGCGAGATCCAGTTGCCGCCGGTGACGTGGCAGTCGATCATGAAGCGCAGTGCAAAGAGCACATTGCTCTCGTAGGTGGTGGCAGGGAATTGAAACCCGTTCCACTCAAAGCCTTGTTCGAAGTAAGCTGGGTGGAGGAACGGGGAGAAGAGAGGGGAGACAGCAGCAAGAGGAGAGGACATCACGATCAGTCAGTAGTGGCAGTCGATCATGCGCAAAGAGCACATTGCTCTCGTAGGTGGTGGAGGGGAAATGGAAGCCGTTCCACTCAAACCCCTGCTCGAAATATGCTGGTCGGAGGAATGGGGAGAGGAGAGGGGAGATGGCAGCAAGAGGACAGCACTGTCAGTCACTCGGTACTGGCAATCGATCATGAATTGCACGGTTGTCGTCGCTGCACTCACCTCTGCACGGAGCCACCATAGTGGGCAGAGCGAGTGTGATCTTAAGAAATGTCTTCTTATCGGGGCCTTGATAGTATAGCAGCCCCTGCGCTTTTAACATTTCCACTCTTATCACCACCACTCCCTTCGCCTGACCCCTTTCCTGCAGTCACATGTACAGTCCAGTACAGTACAGTACAGTACAGTTACACATTCAGTTACAAAGAGGTGAACATCCACACGCAAATGGACGCACGTAACAATATATACGTATATATAATCCATATCCAGAATAAGATGGAAAGTGGAATCCCGAAATGCCAAAGAGTTTGACTATACCGAGAGTTGGGTGTGGAAGGCAGCAACATCATCGTAAGTAAATTGCGATGGTGCCATCACATAGAAGTATGGCAGAAAGCCGTGCACCATAGCGCACACACTGTTTCCTGAAAGCATGAAGGGAGAGGAGACATAGTGGTGATGAGACATGAGATATAGAGGTGAGAGATGAGAGACATGGGAAAACACTGTAGCAAAGAGGGCACAATCTACCAAGGAAGCGAAAATAAGACCGCATGCTTAAAAAATAGGAGGAACTGACCATGTTCATTGACACCAAAGATCCGCAGCACAGCGGAGCTCTTGTAATGAGTCTTGAAGGGTGAGTCAGATGTCAAGTAGTAGTCAATGTCAAGCTGCTGAAACACTGAAATATGTGGGGGTGAGAGCATGGGTAAGAGGTGTAAAAAGCTCAACACACTGGCTTTGATGCACATCAGAATTCATCATGCATCTTGAGATCTGCACATTGACATCCAACATGCACATCGACATCCATCATGCACATTGACATCCACCATGCACATTGACATTCACCATGCACATTGACATTCACCATGCACATTGACATTCACCATACACATTGACATTCACCATGCACATTGACAACCATCATACACGTTGGCATAGACCCATCATCGCAGAGGCATCCGCACACACTGGCTGTCCGTATGTCAGCGAATTTGTTTTTGGCTGCTCATCCTGTTCACATGGCTCTGGATCGTTCGCATCAGGGCACGCCGTCATGACTAGCTTCCTCGCCGTGCTTCACCGTACTTCACCATGTTCCCCAGCATTTCACTACACGCATGTCAAATTCCCGTTACACTTATCAACGCTGGCCTTCTCACCTATATCAGTTTTTCTAGGGTCGAACTCCGTCACCGGCTGCCGCCGCCACTTAGCTAAAAGCGGCTGCAGCCGACCCATCTGTCCTACCCGCCGGGCCTCTTCCTTCGCCGCCTGCTCCGCTCTCCGAATCAAATCCGTTTCGTCTTCCGCCATCATGATCATCATCGCCTCGTCCTCATCCATATCCCCTCCCCCCGCGTCGCCGCCGATCGCCATGGCTTCTTCCACCTCCTCCTCTTCCTCCTCCGTCCCTACCGCTATCGCCTCGCCTTCCTCCTCGTCGCGTCGGGACGCGGGAATTCCGCTGCCGCCGCCGCCGCCGCGAGCGGGAAACGGCCGTTTTGACGAGGCTATATGAGCGGGAGGGCCTCGAGGCCGCTTGCTTGAGTCCATGCCGATGACCGTGAGTTAGTATTATTACTACCGACGACTACTATCGACGACCAATATCGACGACTAAGGTCTTGTTGGAAAGTTGCATTTGCTAGGTCACGAGAGCAGCAGTCGACGTCTTGGCGGGTTACCGCTTGTCAGAGGAAGCACAGGAAGCTGGATGCTTTTTTGGAGTCCGATTTTGAATTTTGAATTTCGACCTGCAGGCAACAGCCATGTGTTGGAGGCAACCTCGATAGAAGCGAGACAGCCTCGAGAGTGGAGAGATTAGGGCGCTTCACCTGTCGGTTCGAACAACACACTCGTTCGAACAGGCGAAACGTTACTAGTTTCGCCTATGTTCGTGGTGGTTTTCGTGACGTCGCGAAGCACAATTTCGCCAATTTGAACAGAGCTGTCACCTCAAGCACGATTTTCATCATCCCGCACGTTCGAGCACGTTTGTTCGAACAGGTTGGGATAGGTGACACACAATTCCGCACAAACGACTGATATGATTGGTCCACAGTCTTCCGGGTCGCCCATGAACGTTTGCGACCCGGCCAGACGTCGCCAATGTTTGGGACCCAATGCTTGGCGACGTCGCTCTTTTGTGGGCGACGTCGCTGTGTTCGAACAGACCGCGTGTGCGAATAGCGATGGCGTCACCTGTGATGGCCTGTGTCACATTCGCTCATTGTACGTATTTGTGTTCGAACTCATTTGGGATACTGTTCGTACAGTCAAACTGATACGTCGGTTCGGATTTTGGCCTTCCGCCCCTCAGGTGAAGCGCCCTTAGTTCAAATATAGCGATAAGAAGCAGATTTATGTGCACTAGGGTCTACACCGCAAAAGAATATGAGACAACTTGGCCAACAAACCTGGCAGTTGCCTAACCACCTGGGCCAAGCTTCCTCCGAACCAAGGTGGCTTCACCTTGACACCTCCGCACCGCAAACCTCTCTGCCAAACCTGATGAAGGCTGACCCCGCTCTCGACATTTTCAACTGGCTAAAAAATACCCAAAAAACAGGTCTTGTGTCTGTGTAGGGAAAATTCCTTTTCCTTACTTCGCATCCCTGCTCAACGCGTACATCACTGTAGCACCACAGTCAGCACCGTTACCACTCGCAACCCTCGCATCGACAATCCGTCCGCCACCTTCGCACATCACACCCCGACCTCACGGCTCGGCGGGTAACCCGCGCTCCGGGCCTCCGCTTCGACACTTTTCCCAACCTCAGTCCCATGCCCGTCGCGCGACAACCACAGTCCATTACCATTACCACTGTAGTTTCGCTATATATTCTTCGCTCATGCCTCCGCTCATTGTACTCTTGCTTCGATAGTGCAATTCTCGTTCGTTCACTCAATTGCACTCGTAACAGTTGGTATTCAAAGCCTACGATCTCCTCTTGGACCGCACCCACACCTTTGCTTCCCCACTATCTCAATTTTTGGGGGGGGTAGACGTCTCTCAGCGACACAGCACCGCCGCTCGTAGTGCTCTCTCGTAAGCACGCACGGCCACGACCGAGGCTCTCGCTGAGCTCGCCCGACACCCCCGCCATGGCCGAATTCATGCTCGCCACATTGACGCAGGAGCAGCTCGACCGTCTGGTGCGCCAACTTGGAGATTCGGCGCTCGAAATTGCGACGCTCACGGCGGAACGTGACTCCGCGCGTCAGCAATCAACGATGAACACTCCAGCGCCACCACACGCACCGACAAATGCATCTGCACAATCAGACGAGCCGATCGTCATCTCGTCCGGCACATCAACACAAAACAACAGCGTGGGACAGCGCTCAGGCGCAGCCAGCGATGGCGCCGCCCAGCCGATGCCTGGCATGGGAAGAAACAGGGTCGCACCAAGCCCGTGGGAGCCTCGCGAAGCCCGTCGGCACGTGGAGTTCGCGGCGACAAGTGGCGAACAGGCCATTATGGCACCAATGCCACTCAAGCCGCAACGCCCGCCCTGCTTCGACCCGAGCCAGCGTGGAGGTCCGACGGTTCAATCGAGGGTCTTCACGATGAACGTCTTCTTCGACACGAATTACGTCGAGTCGGACGCAGCGAAGATTCGGTATGTCGTTTCGCTGCTAAGGGGCCCCGCCATGGACTGGTGGCGAGCCATCGTGACGTCGCCATACGCCTACGAGCCACCGTCGCAAGAGGAAGGGCCCACGGGCCCAGCTGTCACCTGGAGTTCATTCTGCGAGACCGCCCAATACAGCACGTGGGATGCGTGGTGCGCAGGGCTTCGGGCGTGCTTCGAGCCGATCACGGCTTCTATTTCGGCGCGTAAGATATTGCGCACTTGGCGGCAGCTTGGATCGGTTCAAGACAATACGCGTGGTTTTCTCGCATTATGCGAGCAAGTCGGCTACATGCACGAATCGGAGCGGGTGGACTGTTACGTTGGAAGGCTGAAGCCGGACATCTCGCACGAAATCATGCTACGCGGGCTCTCGAACTTCAACAAGATTCTCGCGCTCGCCAAGAAAATTGACATTTTACGCCGTCCGAGACCGGGGTCCTACTATGGACATCGTCCTCGGGGACCAATCGAGCACGCCACTGTACACGCTGTTGCGACGAATGCAGCTGCCGTGCCGTTTAAGGGGCGCTGCTTTGCTTGCAACAGGCCGGGCCATCGCAAGAGCGAATGCCCAGAGGAGCTAAGGCGTCGCGGAGCAGAGCAGGGGAGGGAGTCTCCAAAGCAGGTGTGAGAATTAGAACGAGAATGAATAAACTATGAAACAGTTGGGTACAAGTACTAACCCTAATTGGGTTGTACCCCTTATGGGCTACCCCACTACAGCCTACACAGATGTATAAGCTATAATGTTCTGACACACCCCCATAGGCAAAGTGGGGGAGAACAAGTGGTCACAAGACCACTCAAGCAAAGCAAAGCAAGCTCAGGGTGGATCACAAAGTCACCACACAGTCCGAGCACAAGAGCAAGGCCACAAGGCCAGTTCACATGCAAGGTCATATATATAAAGGTAAAACAAGCAAGGGCGGGTATAGAAAGAAGACACTACAAACAAGATCACAAAGTGAGCAAGTGAGGCCAGGTAGGCACAAGACCTAGCACAGTACAGAAGCGCTGATGATCACAAGGCGGAAGGGCCTTGGTGAAGATATCAGCAGTGTTGGCCTCAGAGGCCACGTAGGTGAGGCGGAGCTGACCACGCTGCTCCAGCTCACGAGACAGGAAGTAGCGGAGAGCAATGTGCTTCGTTCTGTGCTCCAGTCTGTGCTCCCGACACAAGGCCAGCATGGCCTTGTTGTCTACGTACAAAACTGGAGGAGAACAAGGCGGCTCTCCTAGGTCAGTCAGCAGGTAGGTGAGCCAGCGTAGCTCCTGTGTAGCCATGGCCCCCGCGTAGATCTCAGCCTCACGGCTGGAGGTGAGAACAGAAGACGAGCAGGTAGACCGCCACGAAACAGAGCCGGAGCCAAGGCTGAAGGTGTAACCCTGTGACGACCGCTGTGTAGGCTGGTCGTCAGCCCAAGAAGCGTCTGCGTGACCTGTGAGGACCACTCGACGTCGCCCTCCAAGCACTAGCCCCATGCCCGACGTACTGCACACGTAGCGCAACACCCTCTTCGCTGCAGCCATGTGCTCTGGTCGGTGTCTCCCAGGAGCAACATAGCGTGCAAGAATGCTAAGAGGGTATGCAAGGTCAGGTCGTGTGCAGGTCATCAGGTACATGAGGCAGCCAACAAGCTCTGGGTACGGGCCACTTGGCTCTACGGACTCATCCGAAGGCAGAGCTGAGAGCGAGTGGCGAGTAGACAGAGGAGTGGCCTGAGGCGAGGAGTACGTGAAGCCGAAGCGCTGAAGGACCTGCTGCACCATGAGTGACTGAGTCAGGGTGATGGTGCGCTGTGCTCTGTCCCAAGTGATCTGCAAGCCAAGGTAGCTGCGCAGTTCACCCAGGTCTGTGCACGTGTGTCTCTTCTGCAGCTCGGACTTCACGTGGGCGAGTCCAGCAGTGTCAGCAGTAGCAAAGACCAAGTCGTCGACGTACACGAGGATGTAGAACGGCAGCAAAGAGGTGTCGGTGCGCAGAAACAGCGACGGGTCGGCTGTAGAAGGAGCAAACACAAGAGCCGCAAGTGTAGTCCTCAGTGTGTCGTGCCACTCACGGGGCGCCTGGCGGAGACCGTAGACTGGCCGCCTGAGGCTCCACTGGGTACCAGGAGGAAACGACCCAGTGAAGCCAGGTGGGCGGCGCAGCCAGATCTCCTCGTGCAGGCTGCCCTGCAGGAAAGTTGTGCTGAAGTCAAGAGAGTGAAGCTCGTAGTCGCGCTGAGCGGCTATGTGCAGCAGCACCCAAAGAGTGGTCATCTTCGGGGTGGGAGAGAAGGTCTGAAAGTAGTCAACTCCCTGCCGCTGACTGAAGCCTCAAGCCACGCGCCTTGAAGACAGGCGGAGAAACCCGGCGGCCGCTTCACCCTGAAAATCCACATGCCACTGACGATGTTTGCCCCAGGTGGGGGAACCTCGTCGACGTAGGTACCAGTGGACTTCCAGGAAGCCATCTCTGCGTCTATTGCTGACTGCCAGTGAGAGGAGTAGGGACCCTCGATCGCCTCAGCGGACGATCGAGGAATCGGAATGTCTGGTGCATCCGGGTCTCCATCAGGGGCAATCAGCGTGGACACGAGATGGGGCAAAGCAGCGGCAAAACACTGGAACTCCTCCTGCCTGTCCTCAAGGACGTCCGTGCTAAGAGCACACCCACCCCCGACGGACGGAGGATAGACAGACTCAGACTCAGCAACAAGACTAGTGGCGTAGTCTAGACAACAGCGAGCAGCGAAG